GAGATGTACTTTCTCCATCCCTTTGTCTCCAAATCTGAAGGGAGCAGAGGCTCCACCTTGGTTGAAGAGAGAAGCTCCCTAGTAGGGAGCACTTTGATGGACAAAGGTGTGGTATCTGGAAAGAGCACTGGAGGTTAGGTCTTGGGGGGAGAGGAGAAAGAATGTGAGTAAGTAGGAAGTGCTAGAGATGCCTAAAAAAGAGTAGCAATTAAAAATACAGAGAAGAAAACAAAAAAATTTAGAAGGGGACACAAACAGGACAATTTTGTTACTATTGTATTGAATTTAACTGATACTTAAAAAAACCAATGTATTTTAAAAAAATTTTTTTAGGCAATTGGGGTTAAGTGACTTGCCCAGGGTCACACAGCTAGTAAGTGTCAAGTGTTTGGTCTGAGGCCGGATTTGGCCTCAGGTCCTCCTGACTTCAGGGCCGGTGCTCTATCCACTGCGTCACCTAGCTGCCCCTAAAAAAAACAATGTAACAGAAACTCCCAGTTCATGTACACTGTCCGTGTTCTTTGCAGTTTTAAATTAAAATTTTTTAATGAATGGAAATCTATTTTCTCTCCTTCTTACCCCTCTATCAGAAAAAAAAAACCCATAAGAAAAAAAAAATCCTTGTGACAAACATACAAAGTTAAGCAAAAGGAATTCTCTCTGGCAGTGCCAAAGAAATGTAGATCTCTTACTCTGCATTCTGAGTCCATCCCCTCTCAGTCCTTTGGAATCACAGATTCTTACAGCTCTCAGAGCTTTGCACACTGGGATTTTTGTGTACTGTTGATGATTAAGTTCACATACCATCTTTTTTTTTTTTTTTGTGAGGCAAAAGTGACTTGCCCAGGGTCACACAGCTAGGAAGTGTCAAGTGTCTGAGGCCAGATTTGAACTCAGGTCCTTCTGACTCCAAGGATGGAGCTGTATCCACTGTACCACCTAGCTGCCCCTGATGATTAAGTTCATTAAAAAAAAAAAAAGTCTTGGAGTCAGGAGAAGACTGGATTCACTAGCTGCATGACCTTGGCCAAGTTATTTAATTCCTAAGTGCCTCAGTTTACCTATTTAAAAAATGGGGATACTGTCCGCCTCAGCAGGTTGTTGCGAAGCTCAAGGGAAGTATGTGCAGTGCACTGCAAACAGCAGAGTGCTAGCTGTGACTGGTACCCTTGCTTGGGATTCTGGGAAAATCTCAGCATGGATGCAGTGCTGCCTGCCAGAGCCTGTGGTCCCAAGGGCCACACTGGCTTTTGAGCTGTAGCTTCTGTGGTCTCTCATCGAGTCTGGTGCTGATATGAACACCCTTCTCACTCAGGCTATGCAAAGGAAATGGGATTCTTTCTCGGATAAAATGATTTTCTGAGGCTCCTACCAAATGACCATGCTCAACATGACATTCTTTGAGCTCCCAGCCTCAGTAGCAAAGAAAGAGCTAGGTCTTAGCTGACCACAGAACAGAACTTCTAAATTAAAGCTATCTATAGTCATATGAAAAAAAAAATGCTCTAATCACTATTGATTAGAGAAATGCAAAGTAAAACAACTCTGAGGTACCACCTCACACCTATCAGATTGGTTAATGTGACAGAAAAGGCAAACGATAAATAATTGGAGATGACGTGGCAAAATTAAAACACTAATGCATTGCTGGTGGAGTTGTGAACTGATCCAACCATTTTGGAGAGCAACTTGGAACTATACCCAAAGGGCAGCCAAACTGTGATCTAGCAATACCACTGCTAGGTCTGTATCCCAAAGAGATCATAAAAAGGGGAAAAGGACCCAGATGTACAAAAATATTTATAGCAGCTCTTTTTGTGGTGGCAAAGAACCGGAAATTGAGAGGATGCCCATCAACTGGGGAATGGCTGAACAAGTTGTGCTATATAAATGCAATGGAATACTGTTATGCTGTAAGAAAGGATGAGCACGCAGATTTCAGAAAAACCTGGAAAGACTTAACATGAACTGATGCTGAGTGAAGTGAGCAGAACCAGGAGAACGTCGTACACACTAACAGCAACACTATGTGATGATCAACTATGACGGACTTAGCTCTTCTCAGCAATACAATGATCCAAGACAATTCCAAAAAACTCATGATGGAAAATGCACATCCAGAGAAAGAATTATGGAGTCTGAATGCAGATTGAAGCATACTATTTTCACTTCTGTTTTTTCTTTCTCGCGGTGTTTCCCTTTTGTTCTGATTCTTCTTTCACAACATGACTAATGTGGAAATAGGTTTAACATGACTTGCATATATACAACCCCTATCAGATTGCTTGCTGTCTTTGGGGGGGAGAGAGAAAAATTTGGAACTCAAAATCTTATAAAAGTGAATGCTGAAACTAAAAAAAAAAAGCAATTAAAAGTTTTTCGTTTAAAGGAAAAAAACCCCAAAACAAACAAACAGACAAAAAAAACAAACCAGAGCTTCTATTCAGGAACAGTGGGAGAAGGAATGTACACCTGCTCATCCATAGGGAAGAGCTATGTGGTGAAAGTCTAGGGAAGGAAATGTGAGCATCTCACCAGCTTCTTCTTTCCATTTCTTCTCCAAAAGGAGAACTTGCTCATAACGGAGTAAATAGGTACTTTCTCTTCTTCTTAATCCAACAACCTTTCTCTTCCTGTCCCCTCACCCCAAAACCTCTCCAGCCCTTACATGGGCCCACTGCCCATACAGGCTGCCCTTGTGTCTCCACCTGCACTGGTCACTTCCCACAAACTCTGTGACCTGGCTGTGCTGGTCTGTTCTCCATTCTGCACACAGGAGGCTCCGTCTCCATTTCTGGGCCTTCACCACCCCTTAAGTGCATTCCGTCTTCACCTCTGCCTCTTGGAATCTCTGGTTTCCTTCAAGGTTCAGCTCAAGTACCATCATTTTCTCTCTCTCTCTTTTTTTTGGTTTGGGCAATGGGGGTTAAATGACTTGCCCAGGGTCACACAGTTAGTAAGTGTTATGTGTCTAAGGCTGCATTTGAACTCAGGTCCTCCTGAATCCAGGGCGGATGCTCTATCTACCCCGAGCTGCCCCCTAAGCACCATCATTCTCCATGATACCTTTACTGATCCCCTAAGTGGCTAGTGTTGTCCCTCCTCAAACTACCAAACTACCGTATTTCAAAAATCCTTTGTATTTGAAGCCACAATGTTTATCACTGTAGTTAGCACCTGGGAGACACTTAACAAATTAAACACATATATTAGGTATATACTTTTATATGTACTTGTTGCCTACCCCATTGGAATACAAGCTCCTTGAAAGCAGGGAATTCCTATCCTTAGCACTTAGTACAGTGCTTAGCACAAAGTAGGCATTTAATGAATGACTACAGATTGGTTTACTTTCAACCAAAACAGGAAATTGGGCCTGGAATCAGGAAAGCCTGAATTCAAATCTGACCTTAGACACTTACTAGTTGTGTGACCTTGAGCAAGTCACTTGGCCTTTGTCTGTCTCAGTTTCCTTAACTGTAAAATGGAGATAATAATAGCACCTACCTTTGCAGGGTTGATGTGAGGATTAAGTGAGATAATATTTGTAAAGGACTTGGACAGCTAGGTGTCAAAGTGGATAGAATGCAGCTCCTAGAGTCTGGAAGACTCATCTTCCTGAGTTCAAATCCAGCCTCAGACACTTACTGTGTGACCTTGGGCAAGTCACTTTGCCCTGTTTGCCTCAGTTTCCTCATCTGTAAAATGAGCTGGAGAAGGAAATGGCAAACTACTCCAGTATCCTTACCAAGAAAATTCCAAACGGGGTCACGAAGAGTTGGACACAACTAAAAAAACTCAACAAGAAGACATCACTTAACAGAGTGCTTGGTATACAGTAGGTGCTATATAAGTGCTTATTTCCTTCCCTTGCCCTACTTTGAAAACCTGCAAATTGCTATACAAATACAAGGGATTACAATGATTTCTGTCCTTTCACTAATCAATCTGATATGCTCTGCAGCATGGCTTCCCAGCGTCGCTGAAGGAGACTACATCTAGTATGCTAGGCCATTGGCCCCTCTGATTCACCTCACCTTCTCCTGCAGTCTTATTCCCAGGGAACCTCCCTCATCCCCAGACTCTTCATTCCTGTTCTCACCTTAAATCTACAATTCTCCCATAGAACTCCCCTCCACAAAGACCTTTGATTCCTGCCCTCACAGATCCTCTCCCTATCCTAACAGATGGACATTTCCACAAGACCTTCTCCCAAGCTCTAGTCATAAACACAAAGTGTTAAAATCAGAAGACAGCTTAGAACCTTAGGATGCAAGGACCTTAGAATAGAGAAAGTTACAGCTGGAAAGCACCTTAACACATAGATAATTACAGCCGAAATGCGCTTGTAGCACATGAATGTCAGAGTGAGAAGGATCTTTAAAAAGCAGAACGCTGGAGCTGAAAGGAACCTTAGAATGAAGAACCATGACAGCTGAAAGGGGCCTCTGAACTCGGAAAGTTTGGGGTGAATGGGGTCCATGAGAGGTGAATAAACATGAAACTTTGGGGTTCTAATGGATCAGAACTTGGCACATTAGAGCTGAATGGGGCCCCTGGACTTGGAACCTTGGGAGCCGAATGGAGTCTCGGCACGTGGAATGTTAGCGGTGAAAAGGTTCTTTGATTTGGGAAGTTTAGGGCTGTAAGGCATCGCAGAACGTGGAAAGTTGGAACTGCATGGGACCCCTTAACTTGGAAAGTTAGAGGTGAACAAACTGGTAACTCTGGGGTTCTGGGGGGTGTCTGAACTTGACACGTTAGAGCTGAATAGGAGGAGGGGGCCAGGGAACGTTAGAGGTGACAAGGGCAGTTGAACGTGAGGGTTCTACGAGGCCTCGGACAGAGGCATGTTCTCGCGCTCTAGAACCTACGGCCGCTGCACGGAACCCCAGCGCCCGGGCCCCTGGTTCTTCCAGGCGGGGAGGGGGAGCCGTGCACCCCGCCTGCCCCCCGCCGAGAGCCCGCCCCGCCGCCCGCCGCCCGCCCCCGGCTCTTACTCGACGACCTTGACCGGCTCCCCGTGCTCCGCATAGACCAGCGCCCGGACCCCGGCGGCGCCGCCTGCCGCGGGGCGGGAGGACGAGGAGGCCTCGCGTCGGGCTTCGTCCCGCTGGCGTCCCAGCCGGGGCCGGAGCTGCGCGAGCACCGCCCGCAGCGTCCACATCGTCACTAGCACACTAGTCCAACGGCGCGGCGCCTGCTCTCAGCGGCGTGCCCCGCCCCCGCCGTAGCTCGTGCGTCAGCGCCCTGCCCCGGAGGAGCCCCGCCCCCAGCCCCGTTTTTAAAGGGGCCGCACCGCCTTCTGCTCTCTGCTGCTGTCCACGAGAGGGAGCTTCTGGGCTTGGAGGCGGGCTGCTCACGGGAGAGAGAGAGAGGGAGTGGGAGGCGGTTTTCTCGGCTTAGGCGTCCTTCCAGCACCTCCTCAAGACAGAGACCTTGGAGAGCGGTCCTGGAGTAATGACACTGAGGAGCACAAAATACGGAGCTGGAAGGAACCTTAGAGATCATCTAGTCCAGCTTCCATCCATTTTACAGTTGGGGAAACTGAGGCCCAGGACCTCTGACTTCAGAGCCAAGGCTCATGCCATTGCACAGCGTTATTGGGCAGCCAAAGGAATAGCCAGCAAGGGAAGAGTTGCCCAGTAGAAAGAGACTGGATCCCTGCAGGCATTTAAAAAAATGTTTAATTGGTGTCTTCCCTCCCTACACATCACTGTCACTTCTTAATGCTCTTCCCTTTCTGCCTCCCCTCACAGCCCTCCCTTATAACAAAAAAGTACACAAGAGATCAGCATGTTGACCATGTCTGACAACATATGCCTTATTCCTCACCTATGCTCTACCCCTCTCTGGGAAAACTTGGGGCTTCACATTGCCTCCTGGGGGGAGGGGGAAAGACATGGGACTTCACACCACACTCTGGGGAGACATGAGGCTTCACAGCCAGTCCTCTGAGGTTGCAGCTGGTAGTCACTCAGGCATTTTCAGTTAATACAAAATGCAAGGTCAAAAGCTGATTGTGGAAATTTTAAGTGAGTATTTACACTCCAGAGATCAGCGAACACCCTACAAATCAACACTTGATTTGTTGTTTTGTTGATTGTCTAGACTTAAGAAAATGATAGAGAAAATGTCAAATTTATAATGTAGCTCAAACTTAAAAGTGTTTCCTACATACATCCTTCCCCAATCCTCCAAGCTGGTTGTTAAACATTTACCAGCACACCACTATATATATCTATATCTATATCTATCTATATCTATCTCTATCTATATATCTATCTATCTATATATATACATAAATGCATATGCAGATAAATATAATTCAAAGCATAGTATAATAACTTTGGAAGAGGAGTGCAGAATGCTGTCAGATCCATATTTCAACACTTAAAAGTTTTCACTCAGTTAAGGGCTAAGAAGTTCTTGAATTGCTGTAATCAAAATCATTCACTACCTCTAGGGGGCACTATGGTGCCACAGACAGAGCCCTGCTTTGCAAGAGTCTGAAGATGAATTCAAATCATGCCCCTAGTATTAACTATTTGTGTGACCTTGGGCAACTCACCTAAACTCTCTGGGCCTTAGTTTCCTCACCTGTAAAATGAAGAGTTGGACTAGATGGCCTCTTGGTAAATGATCCTACAACCCAGCGGACTATCTAGTTGATTCTGGTTCATTCATTTCATTTCTTTTTTTTTTTTTGGTGAGGCAATGGGGTCAAGTGACTTGCCCAGGGTTACACAGCTAGTAAGTGTTAAGTGTCTGAGGTTGTATTTGAACTCAGGTCCTCTTGACTCCAAGGCCAGAGCACTACTCACTGCACCACCTAGCTGCCCCCATTCATTTCATTTCAACAAACATTTATTAAATGCTTACTGTGTGCAAAGGTGTATATACACAGGGAGCACTAGCACCTCTGGTGTGAGGGCTTGCCAAGCCCCTTGCAGGGCTGCTAATCCACCTTTGGTGTCCACCTGGCACTAGACTCTCACCTGGGGCTCCCAGAAGCTGTTCCCCGCACAGAGGCCACAGCCTATCTTGGCAGATGGGCTAAACCAGGTTGAGGGTAACAGACAGGACTCAAACCCAGCAGTGAATTAGGGGATGTCTACCCCAAGCATGTGAATCCTTCCCTTGGGTGGATGGGCAGATGAGAACAATTTGTTCCAACAGGAAGTAGGCGCTGTGGAGCCCTTAGAGCTTGGTCGGACATCTGAGTCACCAAGGTCTGCATCCTGGGATGCGTGACAGTGCTAATCAGCCATCTTGACTTTTGTCCTGCCACTAGACTTTCATGACTCCGGAAGAGAGAGCGAGGCTGATGACTTTGTGTAATTCTGCCTCACTTAAATCCAATTCACCCTCAAGTCAAGAGGACACCACATGATGTCATTAGTCCCCTTGGAAAGCGAAGAATAAACAATAACTATGTGCAAAGTAGTATGTTAATTTGTTGCCTTCCTAGAAGGGCATTTAGAGCCACCTTCTGCTCATTTTATAGATGAGGAAACTGAGGCCTAGCGAGGTTAAGTGACTTGTCCAAGGTCACCCAGGTAGCAGTCCAACATGGTCTCATGGTTGTGGGTAGTCTCTTCCTGTAGATTGCATCCCCCTCATGTCTGTCCATCCTGGGTTACTCTTGTCCCTCTCCAAGCTAAGCATTCGTATCGATGGCCACCTCAATACAGACTCCTTTGAGCAGTTCCTGGAGAAGAGATTCCATTTCAGAAGAGAAATACAGACGTAAAGCTAGAAGGGACCTTCAAAAAAAGTAGAAAGGGGTGGGGAACGTGGGGCCTCGAGGCTCTCTAGGTCCTCAAGTGTGGCCCTTTGCCTGAATCCAAACTTCCCCACCCTTGTGTTAAGAGGCTTGCTCTAGGTTGCACAGGAGGCTGGGAGACAGGAATGGAAACCTGTCCTTGAACCTCACACCAGCTGTCTTTCCACAGCTGCCTCTTAACTTCAGGCTGAGAGAAACAGAAAAAGTGAACAGGAAGGCCCTGAAAAAATCTATAAAGGAAAAAAATCAAATAAAAAAACAAAGAAGCAAAAAAAGGGAGAATAATACTATAGTAAGCTTTTGGAGCAGACCTGGAGAAATACCCTGAAGAACTAATTACTTAGAATAGATACTTTACAATTGTGATTAACTAGTTGTTATCTCAATGCATTCAAAGTGGAGGGATAAAAATAATTGGGACATTGTTTTGTTTAATCAGAATGGGAGGGAAAAAAGAGGGAAGGAGTTTATTCTGTGAGCAAAAATGAAAAGCAGCCCCTTTTCTAAGGGAGTTTACATTCTTCTAGATGAGGTTCTCCCTCCCCCCAAGCAGCTAGACCCAACTAAGGTAGACATCAGCCCCAGAGCCTGTCTTGTCACATTTCCAGCTTGGTCGATTCTGTCCCTGGAGCTTGGGCTGTGGTCAGCATCCTGTAGTACGGCCTTTGAGAATCAAGGGCTTTTAAGCATGTGGGAGGGAGGGGCACCTGGGTGGTTCAGGGGATAGAGCACTGGTCCTGGAATTGGGAAGATCTGAGTTCAAATGTGACCTCAGACTCGTACTAGTTGTGTGACCCTGGGCAAGTCACTTAACCCCTATTGCCTTTAAAGAAAAAAAAGAATGCAGGAGACACCAGAGGAAGACTACAGAGGAGATGAGATCAAGGAAAGAGAAATCGCTTTCAGCAGAGGTGATCAGGGGGTCTTCTTGGAAGAGGTAGCCTTTGAGTTGGACCCTGGAGGGTAGGTGAGTCAAGGAGAGATGGAGAAGGGGGGAAAACTAATTGTACCTGAAAGGCCCCAGGAAGTGGTGATGGGGAGGAATTTAGAGCTGTGGCTGGTATAACTAGACAAGGAGACGGGCTATGCCCTCCAGAAACTTGGGGAACATTGACAACATTTGCACTCCAGCAGAGTAGAAACAGCTTGGTCTAGTACACAGATGGCAAGGCTAATTAGTTAAAATTTATGATGCCAGGGTGGGTAGAGTGCTGGACTTGGAGTCAAGAAGAACTGAGTTCAAATCCTGCTTCAGACACTTACTAGCTGTGTGACCCTGGGAAAGTCACTTAACTTCTCAGCTTGTTTCTTCATCTGTAAAACGGGGATAATAATGACAGCCCCTACTTCACAGGGTTGTTGTGGGGGATCTCTTTCTGTCTCTCTCTCTCTCTTTCTCTCTCTCTCTCCATGTTGTCTCCGATAGAATATGAAGTCTTTGAAGGCTGGGACTGTCTTTGTAGCCCTAGTGACTAGCACCATACATGGCATGTAGTAGTCACTGAATAAACATTGATTGATTGATAGAATGGATTGCTAACCCACTGCCATGATACCCTGGCTCAACCCATCCTGCCTCTGGGCTCTTCCTAGGACAGTCTCAGCAGCAACCTTGCTGTGTCCCAGTATGTCTCCCCCCAACAAACAAACTGAATTGATCATACATGTTTATATGAAGTCATGCTTACACTTCTTGCCCCAGTCATGTTTTGCACTCTTGTCTCAGGTATGAAAATTGCATCAGTATCCCCAATTGCATCAGTGTGGTTATGGCCCTGGCTTGAGAACCAGAGTGGCTCCAGCTTGCTGTGCCATTTTGGAAAAGTCACCTTCCCTGAACCTGGGAAATATGGATAATCCCACTCCCTGAAGTGAGGACAAATGGTGCCATGATTGTGCAGGCCCTTGAAGCTTTTTGGGAAAAGCTCTGTGAGGGGGGTGAGAGGTTTCTTTTCTTGCAGCATTATAGTATAAATAATAATGCAGCCTTACATCACTGTGGTCCTTTACAGAATTCAAAGCATTCTCACTCACAGTAGCTCATTGGATTAGCTGAAGTGGTATTGCCTGGAGATTTCTCACATTGATGCTTTCCCACTGGGAAGGGTGTGGGCTCTGAAGGAGAAGTGAGCAGAGACAGGAGCTCAGGGCTGTTAAAATATTTGTGGTTCCTAAACACCCTAAGCAGAGGTCCTTTCAATGGACCCTCACAAAGGGCCCAGGGGATAGGGAGCAGTGCAGATCTTGTTATCTCTGTTTTACAGATGAGAAAACTGATGGAGCCAGTATAGGCCAAAGTCATGTTTATGTATAAGCAATGGGAGAGGTTAAGGGTCTTCTGGCCCACAGCTACTCATGGTTCTTGTTTTTCCTTTGTTTTT